TCCCAGGTCTCTCTCCCAGCTCTCTAACTGCTTGTACTAGCAAGGAAGCAGACAAGCAGCCTCTTCACTAACTGAAAGTTTGAATTTCCCCGCTTTCCCTGCCTTCCCTGCGTATTAGGTATGCTAATATCTGTGCACTGGAGGATTGTGGGAGGAACATTCCAGCCCCTGATGGGGGTCCTGTGGGGCACCCCAAAACACTGAGTAGGTCTCTTGGCCTCTTTCAGGACTGGGGCTGTGCAGCCCTGCTCTGATCAGGAGGTGCAGCCGGGGGGGTCACCATGCCTTTGGGGGATATAGCACAGAAAGGGGAAGAATTTTCAGGGGCCATTCTAACTCATACCTTTATTGTAAAAGTGGTTTTCCCAGGGTAAGGCTCATCTATTGCACTTTGGATGTGCTGATCCCTGTGATTTCCCCAAATGTGGGAAAATCAACTGCCTAAGTGGGGGACTGTGTTTATGGTTTACTCTGGTCTTTCTAAACTCACCCTTTCCCCTTTGGTCCTTGGCTGTTTTCACTGCCTGCTGCCATAGGACTATTGGCCTTGCTGGTTTTCCAGGTGGGCTGCAGGAAGCAGATCCTGGAAAGCTAGCAGTGCAGAATGGTGAGGTCCAAACAGCAAGCAGTCTCTGGTGCCAGTTCAGAGGCCTCCCAGTATGGCAGTGGGAGGCTTCTGGGTGGTGGTGGCTGAACCCTTTTTTTACTGTATTTACTCCATAAGAAGCACATACTTTCTCCCCCTCTATTTGGGGGGGAAGTGCGTCTTATGGAGCGGAAAATACGGTATCTCAGGCTTTCATGACAAATGCTTTGCATAAACAGCTCACAGGTTTCCAGTTTTGTCAATGCATATTTATTCTTTAAAAAAGTTCTAGCTTTCGATGGCAGTATACACCACCTTCATCAGGGAAGGCAAGATATCAACTAAACCAAAATTAACCTTAAATGCAACAAGGTACAATCAAAACCAGTTGTGTAAACATTCAGACCAAACTCAGGCAAATTATCATTAAAGAACCAGTAGCCCACACTGGCCAGTGTTAAATAAGGGCAACCTGCACAAAATACAGCACTTGGAAATTTTCACAGGAAAATTATGACTACCTCCATTGCCCACCCAAACCGAAATAATGAGATGAGACATGGTAATATGGGTTGAAACTAGGGCCACAACTTTATTAACTGTTTAACTTTTAACTACCCTTTTTACAAGGGGGGCAAGCCATAGTGTTAACTGGTCTGGAACCCTTGTCATTCTTGACCAACCAATCCAGACCTTTGCTCCTGGGAGTTCCTACTCTGAGAGGGTGGTGTTGAACTGTCCAGCACCCTCTCGGCCATCCACCCAGAGTAAGTCTCTAGACTCCAAGTGCCCATTCATCAAGCAGGGAAGAGGACAGCAGAGGCCATGAGGCTTGTTTTAAAAACTCGCATTGAACCAGGCCTGCTCATCCTCTTGCGAGGCCCCTGTCTGTCATTCTTTGAGGGGGCAGGCAAAGCGTCCCCACCCAGGCAGCTCGGCGCCTTTGCAGAGTGACATAATGTAATTTTAAATAAATTAGCTATGTTTTGTGCCATACAGTCAGAACTGATTTATACTGATCTTTATAAGGCTGTAAATGTAAATGGCAAGTTAAACAATTGATTTTACCAGCTCCTTACCTTAGTGAGTTTCCATGACTGACTGAAGATTCAAACCCAGGCCTCCTGAGTCTTAGTCTGTCACTCTATCCACTACATATCCTAAGCTACATATCCTAAATCAGCTACATTGTACATTTAAAGGTCTTGCAGTCAATATATGTAGAGGAATTCTGAAGCAAAAGAAATTCATCATGGGAGATTTGACTAAACATTGTTGTTGTTGCTTTCCCCTGCAGACTAAGAGTGAACAATTTAGTATACGGCATCTGACATCAGGAAACTGGGAAGTTATCAAAATCTTGGCATACGATGAAAATACGCAAAAGATGTGAGCATTATTTTTCTTTGTCTATTCAGGTAAAATATCTGTGTTATCAAGATAGAATGCACTTTTGAAAATAAATATGTAACTGTTAAACATGTTTCATCCATTTTCAAACACTAATATAACCTATAGCCTCGTGGCACAGTGGTTAAAACGCTGTACTGCAGCTAAAACTGTGCTCACGACCTGGGGTTCAAATCCCAGGTAGCCAGCTCAAGGTTGACTCAGCCTTCCATCCTTCCGAGGTCGGTAAAATGAGTACCCAGCTTGCTGGGGGGGCAATGTGTAGCCTGTATAATTAAAATTGTAAACCGCCCGGAGAGTGCTTGTAGCACTATGGGGCGGTATATAAGTCCAATAAATAAATAAATAAATATAAATATAGCCATAAGTACAAAGAGAAACTTCATTTGGCCTGTTGGTGCAAAACACAAGTCTTTCTCAAGTAAAGAGTGGGGGTATATTATATCACCTGGCTTGCTACTTTGATTGAATATGAGAAATGTGTTATGTCAGAACAAAATTTCTAAGCAGGTTTCTCCTAATTTAAAAACAGATTGAGTAACATAATTAGAATATATAAAATATACATTGTATACCTACATTGTACATGCAATTTTCAACATTTATATACAGTATATTGTATACTATGCATCTATAATATAAATGCATATTCCATTTATTTTGCATACTCTTGAGATTTTCCACAGCTTAGTGTTACTTTGTTGGCTATCTGAGGTGTATCTTTTACATTGATGGGGGCAACCTTGGGAAGCTTAGCAGCCAAGTTTCCGTCTCAGCCCTCACTGTACAAGTCATACCAGAACTAGGAATGGCCTTTCTCCCTTCCCCCGCCCTTAAAAGATATAATGACAAAGTGCCTACATAGCACTTCTGGGTCTCATTTGTTTGGAGAGTGGGATTGTGGGGGCTTGGAAAGCCTTAAATGAAAAAAGGCCCCTGAAATATTTTTTTAAAAAACAATTCTTTCTTTGTGTGTGTGTGTGTGTGTGTGTGTGTGTGTGTGTGTGTGTTGGGGGAAGGGGCTGAGAATGAGTAATGAGAATGGGTTTGCAGGTTGCAAACTGGTATGTCATTTGTCTTCTCGGTACTGTCAAGTAAAGGAATCCTCTCAAAAGCTTTTTTTTCTTGGTTTGTGTTTTTTTGGTTTGTTTGTTTTTGGAGAAATCTTGAATCACAATTCTTCTTTGCTTTTAAAGCTGCATTCCTATAACCAGGCACAAAGTTCTTGAACTTCGGTAGGATGTACTTCCAAACAGACCTGTTAATTGATGGAATCCTCCGAAGTTCATTTTCCAGCAGTTAGTGGTATGCTAAAATCCCCGCATAAAAGTTGGTCAATTACCTTTGTAACCACAAAGCCACTACAGTACATGTGAGCAAAACACAGAAAAGTCAGGTTCTGATTTGTGTGTAGGATCTCTTCACAGGATCTCTTCTTCGGTCAGTAAGTTTTGCATGAGGAAAATCAGTGATGGAGGGGATACAGCTAGCAAACAGCCCACATGTATGGAATATGAATGGTTTGTTAAATCTCAAAGTCACATGGATTTGGAGGCCAATGCTCTGCCAGTGAAACACACTCTAGCAACAGACCTTTCTCATTTTCCTGCCTTCACATACCTTTGGAAATCTGCTCCAAATTTTCTTCAAGGGAAAAAGGGAATTACCTTTCAATTGATGATTTCCTTTTGGAGATAAAAGTAAAACAAGGTCGCCAAATTTGCAGAACAAATCTTTTCCAAGATTTATGTTTGAGATTCTCAATTTCCTTGCTCAACCTCCTTTAATTTGAGCTACTGTTTGTTAGAACTAGCTAGGTTTCTAACATTTCAGCCTTGATGGAATAGTACGTGTGCGCCATATGTGGCTAAATCCCAGCTAGAGCAGATCTATTGATTGAATGAGACTTACTAACATTTATGTAAATCCCAATGGCTGAAATTTTGTTACTATTCTATAGTAAGTCACAACTAGAATAAAACCATTTGAATCAGTGGAACTTTTAGAGGAGTAGACTAACCAACTCGCCACTGTTTCAATAGGCCTACTCTAATATGGCTTACTGTGCTAAGCAACAGGATCTCAACCATTGATTCAATGGATTTATTTTGGTTTGGCAGAACAATTAGATTAAACCTATAGTGAATAATAGTTTAATTGGTCCACTTAAATGAATCACACATTTTATTAACATGTAGGCATCCTTCAGTCTCGAGAGACTATGGTATCATGCTCTGTATGGAGGACTTGGAACAGCGTCTAGTGTGGCTGAGAAGGCCAATTCGAGAGTGACAATCCCTTCCACACTGAAGACAAATCCAATCTGTCCCCTGTCCAGCTCCCTAGTTTTGCTGCTTTTGTGACTTCCTCTTTGCCTCGGCCTGCTGGACAAGGGTCCCTTCGAATTGGGAGAGGCCGTGATGCAACGTCTGCCTCCAGGGTGAACGCCCAGATGTCAGAGTTTCCCATCTGTTGAGGTCTATTCCTAAGGCCTTCAGATCCCGCTTGCAGATGTCCTTGTATCACAGCTGTGGTCTCCATCTGGGGCAATTTCCCTGCACTAATTCTCCATACATAAAATGTTATTTGAAAATAAAAATATAATGTTGTTTAGGATTAGCATATTATGTAGAAGGTATTCAAAGGTAATAGTGATGATGCTGACAGTTTATATATCAATCCCACCAATACATTTTGTATTGCTTTGTCATTATGAAAACACTTGTTCCTCCCACTGCAGTCTCATTCATTCTTACTCAAAGTACAGGGCCTCTCAGTTCAATGTGTCTTTCTCCCTATTATACAGGTACAGTATAGGACTGGAAGTTTCAATGGTCGTGCACATAAATGTTGTGTGCTATATTTAATAATTTAATCAATGAATTTACTTTGTGCGAGATGTTATTTGTTATTTATTTATTAAAAATATTTCTCTCCAGCCTTTCTGCCTGAGGGTAGACCCCAAGGCAACTGAAAATGAATTTTAAAAATTAATACGTAAGGGCATTTAAAATTTGATGTTGACTTCTGAAGTCTTGGAGAAGAGAAAAGGGAATGATGAGGGGAAATGCTTACAGACCAGGACTTGGTGTTATGTGAAACAATAGCCACTTCTTGGTATATGCTACCTAATAAGTGGGTCCTGATAGCATCAAATGTCTTTGTCCCTGGGAAAATGGAGCATCTCCCACGTGGACAATTTGTAGCTTCTAGCATTTCTCCACATTGGAAAATATGAGGTGTGATGGAGGCTGATGGATGGAGGAGAAAATGATACGGAACATCCACTTGTTGCTCTTTTCTCATAAGTGTTGACTAGAGGAGAAAATGATACGGAACATCCACTTGCTAGGCCCTAGATGTTGCTCTTTTCTCATAAGTGTTGACTGTTGAGCCTTAAAATCCTTAGTTATGACCCTTGTTTATGCTTATACAGACAACAGAATTATTGAGTGTTACCCAGATTGAGTATGATTCATTTTCTCTTCTTTGCCAGCTATTTTTTAAGTACTGAGAATTCACCCAGAGGAAGACAGTTGCATAGGTAAGTACATCAAAAACAGTGTATTTTCTAACTCATTGACAGAACTTTTGACCAATATCCTATTCCCAGTTATACAGTAGATACACTGGCTCACATAAGTATTGACTCACCATTCAGCAAATGATTCAGTGGATCTACTTTCAGTGTCCTATTTGTAGTGTACCCTTCTCTTCTTCCTCCTCTCTTTTATTCAGTGGATCTACTTTCAGTGTCCTATTGGTAGTGTATCCTTCTCTTCTTCCTCCTCTTCTCTTTCCCTGTGTCTGAAAAGGTATCGCCTTGCATTCCTACGGTATTCCATCAGTTATCTGAGAAATACTATCAGTATTAACCCTTTTATTAGTCACCTATAACATTAGCCTTCAACGCAGTTTGGGAGGGGCACACAGATGTGGCCAATGACATTCTGTTGGAGCTATTCAGTGTTACAGGAAAATATTTCAGTTTGTACAGTGGGACATGCCCTCTGCCTCCTTCATGTCCTCAGTCCCACTACCAAACTGGACCTAAATGGTTTCCAGTGATGGGAAAAGCCATCCATCAGTGTGGTGGATAGCACTGTATTTTGCCTTTCAAGCATGCATTTTTCATATGTATTTGCAAAAGGTTTATGTGTGCATGAACAATATTTATTTTTGCCACCTCAGTGCGTCAACAGTTGAATTACTGAATCGCCAGTGCCTTTCGTGCAATTTCATGAAGGATCAATGCACGTATTTCAATGCAAAGTTCAGCCCTACAATCAAATATTTCATTCTGCAATGTAAAGGTAAGCCAGCCTGCAGGAAAGAACAGAGAAACAAGGAAAGAAAGAAATACCATCATCAACAGTGGGAGTATTCATTTAGTCCCCGTGGTGCTGAGGGAAGAGTTTAAGGGGGAAATGACAGATACATCTGGTTTCACTTTGGTGCAGCAATCCTGGTCTGAAGAACATTCCCATGTGCTTATTTGGAAGTAAGAAAGAACAATGTTTAGCTGCATACTAAGCATGCATGTTCTTTAGCACTAGAAAATTGACATGATGGAATTAAATACTAGTGATGGCAAAAAGCATCAACAGTTTGAAACACGTTAATTATGGGAATTTTAAAATTTTATTCTGATATGTTTATTCAAATATTTCTGATATCACACTGTTAAAATAATAGCTGAAATCCATAATCTGTATAATTGTAAAATGATATGTTTTGACAGTAATTAAGAAATATGCATGATATCCATGCGGAAATACAAAAATCGTAGAGAAACTCTCAGCTCATGTCAGAATCTGGGAAAGGACAGGGATGTGTATAAGACCAAAACCCAAGCCATAATTATTGGGAGCCATATCTAGTTTTGATAGCATAGAAGATTTTCAAGTTCTTCATCTGATATTAGATTCTGTTTTCAGGCATGAATAAATATTGGGAGTCAAAATTGCCTTTACTAAGACCATAGAACCACTAAATAGCCATTATTCACTGATGTCTCAAAGAAACAGAGCGAGAGGTTTCCACTGAATTAGAAACCCAAGTCCCATTGATTTGAAGGGTTGCACTGAAAATATGACTAAAGTTTGGACTGAAATTGTGCCCAAGCTATCATCGTTAATCAGAAATCTGAAAAGAAACCTGGTGATGATAATACACATGCCTAAAGAGTAACTATCATATACAGTTATCATCTGTGTTAGCAAATCATATTTTCAGAATGACAGGGTTTATTTTTAAGGCAACAGAACCCGCTTTTTAAGCAATAGAATATGCAGCACCATTTGAAAATGGATGGGTGAATGGAAACTAGAGGTTTTGGACTATGATACATCTAGTCCTTCAGTCTGGGACACCTCTCTTTTGAGATTTTTCTCTCAGTTTTCTAATGGAGTCCAAATCACTCTGAAAAGTGCTGAATATTGTTTGTTTGTATTTTAAAAAATTTGACGGTAGCTGCAGGTGCTCTGTACTTCTTACAATCAGACTATTAATTGCTCTGTGTGCCAGTTGCTTAATTGAAAATTGAGATAATAACAATGCCTGTAACTTGTATTATTCTCCATGGGACTACTGTTGGGCTTAGTTTTAATGTTGATGCATTAATTGTTTTGAGAATTGAGCAAAGAGCATAACCAGAGATGCTTGGTTTCTACTGAAGTATTAAAGGAGTTTATATTTAACCAAATGACTTTAATAAATGTTTTGTATTTGTTGATATTATAGGACCCGGTGTTCCAGTTTTCAGTGTGCATAGTACAGCTAATCCTGAAAGTAAGTGTTCAGTAGTTCACTGGGTATTTTCTTGAGGTCATTTTCCCTTTCTTTTTAGTCTTCTAGGGAATTAATTTCTGAAAGCTCATCTTAATTACAGACAAGTAATAAACATGCCTGTAAGTGATAAGGATAGAGGGAAATTAATCAAGTGACTTTAATGTACCAAGGATTTCTTAGGCTGAAGTTATACGAGATACATATCTTTTATCTCCTGCTAATACTTACCTTAATTAGGTGGCAAAGTGGCATGACCCCTTTCACAAAGTATGCAAATTGAGTTCCTGTTACACCACCCCTAATGGTGAGCTTTAAGTTACTTTAAAGATGTAATCCAATTAGTTTGGATTAAGGTGTTAGCTTCCAAGTGCTACTTGTCTAGTTCAACCTACATTTAATAAATCAAATTCTGATTGTTAAGTTCCTGAATTCTAGTACAAGTAAT